ATTTTTTTCTATCTTGCTCATTCTAAATCTAGTCTTTTTTAATTTTTAAAAAATATTTATTTATTTATTTGGTACAGGATCTTGCTATGCAGCTCAGACTCATAGTGATCCTCCTGTCTCAGCCTCCCTAGTACTGGGATTGCAGGTGTGTGCCACCACTCCCAGTTTCAGTGGCCAGCTGGGCAGCACAGCATGCAGTACCAGGGATTGAACCTGGGTCCTTGCACTTGCCAGGTGGGCTGTTAGCCTGCTGAGTTATCTTCTCAGCCCTCTAAATCTAGTCTTATGCTGCTGACTTTGTGTACTTTGCTATTCTTGTAGCATTTCTAGCAGTTGTCACTTTTTCCCTGAAAATGTGGTACTCTGTAATGTGCCACTGGTATTGGGAATGACCACCCTACTGAGTTGTTTGTCACTCACACTCACAGAATGCAATGACTTGGCTGCTCTGTCCTTTTAGAAAGGCACATTCAGGCATGGAGAGAAGGAAAGGTCCACAACCGATCAGATGATTAGAACCCCTACCAGTTAGGGACCCTCAGGCAGATTGGGCATCTGCTCCCACAGCTGCAGCCCCAGCATCATCCAATCTCACTGGAAATCAGAACAGTGGGTGAACTTTATTGTGGGTGGATTAGCACACATGTATGTCACCAAATCTGATAAGCAGCTCAGAAAGCTAACTATTACCATTTCCACAAGTAAAAGATATCTGCTGTAGTTTGGATATGATTTGTTCCAGAAATTTTCATGTGCTGGGATCTCATCTCCAGTGTGATGGCCGTCCTTCAAGAGGTAAGGGCAGGCAGGAGAAAGTTAAACCACAAAGGCACTGCCTCCGAGGCTAAGCAACCCCCTCCTGCTCCCCTGATGTACTCTTTCCTTCCACTTCACAAGGTCGTGGTGCAGCCCAGGATCCCTCACTAGGCTGCAGGTGCCATTCTGCTTAGACTCTCTAGTCCCTAGAACACTGAGCCAATTAAATCTCTTCACTTGGTAAGTTACCCAGCCTGGAATATTCCGTTCTGGCAGCATAGAACAGACCAAGCTAATATCAAAATACTGTTGTTGAACAACATGTGCCAAGTTGAAAATTATCTCACAGTTCTAAGCATCTCAACTACATGAGACATGCCCAACAAGGAAGAATATCATGAAATGTGAACTTTCTTGGCATTTGAGTAAATGAGAAGGAAAACAAATGGAAGAAAAGCTAGTATTGTAAGGAAGAAGAGAATTGAGAAAAGTACTAGCCAGAATTGTTTTGTGATGGTCATTTGTTCTAGTTAGAATTCCCCTCATATTCATAATACCAGGTTTAGATTCAGAACACCACACCTTAGGCCTCTCTTGCTCTCTTGATATACTTCTGGAAATTAATGCTGATACTTGATTATATCACAAATCAATATTTAGAGAACAGTGTATGCAAAGTGCAATGCTGATACATCAATACTAAATAGGAAGTCTTGATTAAATGACAAGAACTTCATTTTTTTCTTTGTGCTTTTCTAAGTAATCTATCATGAACATATAACTACTCTCACAACTAGGAAAGACGTCATTTAAACAGCCATCTAATTAACACAATACCATTTTCGATCTCCTAGGATTTTTAACATGGGCATCATCTATTCGTCCTTTGTTGCTTCTTTTCCCCTTTATTCAGCCAGTCAAGGGAATGAGGCATTCTGCTTTCGTGGTAGGCCAGGATCAAATTAAACTACTCTTGAATTTCATAAGGCTAATATTTCAAATTAGAAATTTCAGCTCACTCAACACATTCAAACACACTTGTGCTTGATGAGGCGTTACTTATGTGAATAATTAGCTTGAATAATGTGTGGAAGCAAGAGGACAGTTGAGGAGGCATCACTAAACGCTCTTCCCTTGGTGCGATTGCAAATGAACGCTGAGAGAGAGAGAGAGGAAGGCGTGGCAGGTGAAGAAGGCTGTTCCTGGGCCCTGTGATCCAGGACAGGCCGGCCACAGCAGTGCAAGCAATGTTCAAAGTGGGCTGAGCAGAAGCAGCCATCCAAAGCAGCCCAAGGGCTCAGCCCGAGGAGTCTGCAGCCAGGGGACCGTCACAGTGCATCTGACAAATATTACCTAGTTCTTGGTCACACGATCTAGTATGTGAGACACAGAAAGCCGATGGTGCTTGGATGTTTGAAAAGCCAGAATGCCTCTGAATTAACCAACTCTACCACTCAGTTATCATTTCTGTTTTTAAAAAATCTACCATCATACAGGCAATCTCTTTACTATCTACTTCATCGCAATGCTATCTTTAAAAGATGATAGCTAGCTGAGTGCAAAAGACAGCAGACAGCAACAACACAATCGTCTCTCTAGCTTTAGTTACAGCTCAATCCAATACACTTTCCCACCTCCAGCTCCGGATGTTCAGAGTCTCTTATTTTGGAGTTAGACCCAGCTGGGGCTTGAAACTGGCACCAGACGTTCTGTAGCATTAGCAGATGGTGGAATCATCCAGGAAGTAATTCTACTGTGGGTTTTCTATTCCCTAACCAAGCCCTTTAAACATAATGTGCTTTCTCACGGCTCAGCTTTCCCCTTCCTTTAATCAGTCTCTCCTCAGCTCAAGGAACAATATGTCAGACAGACAGACAGACAGACAGACAGACAGACATCTATGTCCCACATCTATGTCTCATGTATGTCCTACATACTGGTAGAATGCAGCATTCTGAGAAACCAGAATTTCTTTCCCCTCCCAGTGTCTTTTCCTGATCTTTGTTGTAAGAATCCTTCTTGCCGAGTGTGGTAACACACACCTGTAATCCCAGCACTTGTAAGTCTGAAGCAGGATACTGAGTTTGAGGCCAACTTGGGCTATATAGTGACCTCAAGGCTAGTCTGTACTACATAGTGAAACCTTGTCTCAAAAAACAAATAAAAAAATCTCCCCTTCCCCAATCTTACCGGCTGATTCTTAATTTCAAGACAATTGAAATATTTACTAGTCATCCTTTAGCAGGCATATAACAGGTTTGGATTAGAAATATTTCCATCAGTCTCAAGTTTTCAGCTATTTTATAAGTGATGATTATTTAAAATGAAAAATGCATAATTAATTTAAATTTAAAAATCTGTTAGGCATTTCCTGTACTTCTACAAACATTTTTAGCTGTTTAGATTTTTTTTATAATAAATATAGAAACATTCTTGCAAAAAGAGGAAAAAAATCCCTGCCAACACCAAAAGTAGAAATTATCTTTAAAATTGTTGCTCTACAAAACGGGAATTTGTCTTGATTTTTGCTTGTTTTGTTTCTATTTATTCTTGCGCACACACTATTTCTCTTCCCTACTCATGCTTGGTCCCCACTGGTTCTGTGAGCTCTCAAAACTCTGTCCCCTAACTTCCTTTATGCTTGAGTTAGCTAGCTTTGGTTTCTTTCAAAGCAAAAATATTAACCAATCCAATGGGCCTCCATATCAGTTCTTCTCTTGTGCTTGCAATCCCTAGAGATTAAATAGATATAACAATCATCCAAATGTTATCTCCCAGATAAATTTTCCAGATTAGTAAACTGGAATTATGGAAATAAGGAAAAGTTATAGAGGCAATCAGGAAGTATTTCAGCAGCATTGAAACTGTGATGTAGGGCTTGCAAGTTAGCTCAGGTGTTTAAAGCACCTGCTTGGACAAATTCAGTCAGATGCAGGGGACCACAGTTCAATCCCCAGCTCCACATGCTGCACCAGGCCCACCCACAGCCTGTGCCCACTAAAAAAAATGTATATATATATACATATATATGTATAAAGGGCATTTGCACGTGTCAGTCTGCAACACCGAGGTCAGAACTTCGACAGCACAGTTCTTCCTGGGGCTGGCTTTAATGAAAGTTTCCTTCCCTGTAACTTCTGCTTTGCTATCTTCCTAACTTCACGAGACATAAAGTCCATGGGACTGAGATGCTTGGGGAAATGGGTATGGACAGAAGTCAGCAGTCACAGGGATAAAGCTGACATTATAGGTTGTCTCATACGCTTGTATCTCCACTTAAGAACGCCTTTACATTTGAGGTGCTTCGCAGCAAGGCCAGGTAAAGGCAAACAAAGTATCTGTTCTCCACTCTCCTGCCGGCAACGGTGAGCTTCACAGAGATGAAGTTTTCCGGGGTCCAAGGCTGAAGCCCACAGAAAGTGTAGGAAAACTCCTTTACCGATAAAGCGGACAAGCAGTACATGAACAAAGCTCTCTTTAGTAGAGCTTTACTAAAGACTGTGGGAGTCATCCACCCATGAGGTCCCAGGATGAGCCCTCTGCCTTTAACATGGATAATATCTGGTTGTCTGAGGGAAACGTCAGGCAGAAAACCGGTGTCAGTGATGTTTACTGATGAAGAGGGGACAGAGAGGGCCGAGTGGTCTGGAAGGCGTTTGATGCAGCAGACCTGACACACAGAAGCGCTTGGAAAGGGTTGAACGTAAGACGTGTCAGACCAAGCTACCTGTCCGATTGGTCAACCGTCAAAACTTTCATACTTTACTTGGGTTTTGGTTTTTCAGCGATGAAATAAAAAAATCAGGAACAAGCTGGCCTTCCAGAAACAGCCCACTGTAGCCAACCTGAGTAGAAAATAGTTTTCTTTAGACTCTGGGTTGTTCCGTTTCTTTTCAGCTTTCAAAACTGAAGTGCGTAATCCAAATGAAAAAATAGCGGCAGCTTGGAAACGTTCGTCATAAACTCCAGCCCCACAGACTGGCGTCCGCCCGCCCGCAGCCCTGGGCGATCGCTCCCTCGGAGCAGCGTCGCCCAGCGGGCAGAGGCAGCGGCGAGCTCCGAGCCACCCTCCCTCCGCAGCTAGAACTCAGCCGGCGCTGGGAGGCGGGGCCGTGGCTGGAACGGCGTCGTTATTGGCTGACAGCGCGGCGGCGGAGGGGCATCGGAACGGTGATTGGCTGAAGCTGGTGCCAGAGGGGGCGGGGCCACTATATCTGAGAAGTCCCTGTAGCGGCGCTGGCAGTCGGTGCTGGAGTGCGGCGCCGCCGCGGAAGGCTGGGATTCGAGCCGGCGGGCGAGGGGACAGCGGGGACGGCAGCGGCGTCCGCGGGGCGCAGGGCAGGCGTCTGCAGGGCTGCACCTTCCAAAGGCCAGCTCTTCGCCGAGCACAGAGCTGGGTTCGAGCCGTGGCGAGGCGACAGCACCGCTCACACCAAAGAGAAGGCGACAGCGGCGGCCCCAGCCATGCTGTGCTATGTGACGAGGCCGGACGCGGTGCTGATGGAGGTGGAGGTGGAGGCGAAAGCCAACGGCGAGGACTGCCTCAACCAGGTGCGGGCCAGGGGCCAGGCCAGGGCCCTTGCGGGTACCCCCAGGCTCCCGGGCCGCGCGACGGTGCCGGGTGCCTGGGCGCGTCGCCTGCCCGGGCCGGGTGGCAATGCAGAGGCGGCCGGCAAGCGCCCCTAGCCGAGCTGCAGCCCCCTCCTCCCCGCGGCGTGGGGCGCGCACGTGGGGCGCAAAGGAAGCGCGCGGCGGGGCCCCCAGGGCTGAGGGCGCGGGCACCGTTGCAGGCAGCCACCCTTTACCGCACCCGCACTTTCTCAGAAGGTGTCTGCACACCTGCCTCAGGTGTGTGCATGATGCCGCAGGGGATCCTGCCAGGCCTGTTAGCGCCACCCACGTCCCAGGATAGGTGGCACGAAGCAGTCCTGGGTCCCGCGGTACCATGACAGACAAGCTCGAGCCTCGTGCTGCTTCTCAGAGGGAGCGAGTTGTTCACCTACCTTGTGGATTTGCGGGGTCGAGAGAACAGCAGGTTTGGGCCGTCTAGGGCTTGGTTGTCTTGAAGCACGTGTTTCCTTCTGCGTGAAGGATTCCAAACAGGGCATGCAGGCACAGTTGGTACGGCAAACAGCTATGCGCTGTATATTCGGATCCTCTAGACCTGGGATGTTTGGAGAATCTCTCCCAAAGCTTGGCTGACACTTGTGGCGTGTTTCCCAACGTGTTTGTTTGTTGGAATCCAGATGGTTAAAACTGTCCAGAAAACAAGCTGCCAAATCAGCTGGAGGGAATTCCGGTGATTGGAATAAAAAGGCGAAAACCCCATAGATTCTCCTCCTAAGCCTTTCGTGAAGGCTACTTTTAGGGACTCCCGTTTCCTCTGTTGCACTTGGTCTTGCCCTAGATACCCAAGAAAGGACAAGTCTTCCTATTAGAGCTAGGTTTAAGCATTGTGGGAGCCTAGAACTTTATCTTTTCAGCTTACAGCAGGTATTGTAAGATCCTTCAAATTTGTATAAAAGACGTGGGTTACCTTAGACTCAGAGCCCTTGGGTTTGCCCTGATTATGGCTGCACGCGCCATTTGCTTAATCCATCCTGCATTCATTTTTGTTTTAGGTGTGCAGAAGATTGGGGATCATAGAAGTTGATTATTTTGGACTGCAATTTACTGGTAGCAAAGGTGAAAGTTTATGGCTAAATCTGAGAAACCGGATCTCCCAGCAGATGGATGGGCTAGCGCCATACCGGCTTAAACTGAGGGTCAAGTTCTTCGTGGAGCCTCATCTCATCTTACAGGAGCAGACGAGGTAAAGTGAGGCTGAAAGAAAGCAGTGTCCAGTTCACCTTCCATTCCACCTAGAAAGGAACCCCTTCGACCTCTAGAGGTGTTCCCAGGCATTCATGTAGTGCAAGTTCCCCACAACTTAAATTTGTTTTCAGTGCAAACCCCAACCCTTTTGTTGAAGTGAAAGGGAGAGCTACATTGTTGGCCTGGGTGCTGTTTTCAGACTCTTCTTTTGGTTTTTCTTGTCCTTATAAACTTAATGAGAGAACTGGATTGAATTCTTACACATAAACAAAAACAGAAAAAAAAAAAAAAAAAAAACCCGCGACTGACTTCCTGATAGCAATGTCTAATGCCCGATAGTAACCTCCAGTAGGCAGTGTTACTACAGGTCACTGTAGAGGGTTCTGAAAGCAGGAAACAGTTCCTCCTGGGTTACTTAAACTTGGTCAACTTCTTCAGCCTAGTGTCAGATTACAGTGTGTAGCGGAGAACTCCAGCTGGCTTCATGCACAATTTTCAGAGTTTTTAAATTTCATAAAACCTTAATAAAAGAATTCTTTGAAGGCCTCAGTGACTGAATTTCACCCCACAAATACACTGCTCATGATTGTTGAGTGCAGAATGTTGAATTCCTCTTTGTGTTGTAAGAGTAAAAGAGAAAAAGGAAATCTTCACCAGTAATGGTAGGCAACTGAAGCATGTGGTTTCTGTTTTCAAGTAAAAAAAAAGTGTTCTCAGGACTGTAATAAAACTTTTCTTAAGGATGAGTTAGCCTAAGAAAATGATGTTTAATACTTATATTTGAAATACATGAGACAAATCTTACAGCGGCATGTTGAGAAAAAGAAAGGAAAAGGATTGCTTTGAAAAGCACAGCAAGCTTTGAATCTAAGCACTGATGTTTTTCATAACCCTTTAGCTTGGAAATTCACCTTATATGTGAAAAATGTGATTCTGAAAGTTGTGAATGATCCTCAGGAGCAGTACGTTTAGTGCGTCATTCTCTGTGTGTGTGTTAACCAAGAAACTGATAGAAACACACTGAAATATTATCCATTCGAATTTGAAATCTTCATTTCATCTTGGGGCTTAAAAGTTTAGTTTTTGAGGGAAACTGGCAAACTGAATTCTAATCGCCTCTGGAAAGATCTTGCAAAATAGTCCAGTTATTGCATGTTTAAGGGTGTGTTAACTGCCTTTATTATTCAGAGTAGGCTTTTCATAAAACTTAAAACCAATATGTATAAGCATCTACTTCGTACCTCATTGTCATAACTTGAAGTTGAATAAAAGAAAACACATTGGATTTTTATTTGCAAATCATAATTTCAAGATCTCTAGATGCAACCCCATGTTGGTGACACAGATTTGTTTTTTAAACCTGCAGAAACTCAGAGGACTAAATACTTGATTTAAACATGAATATGATAACATGATCTGTGTGTATTGTAAGTGCATTTATACT